TGAATGTGACTCGTGAATACTGTGTGGCCCAGCCAATGCTCGGAACGTAGATGTAGAGTTGCTCCTCCACCCACTTTCGCAGTAGATATAGCGGCTTCTTGACGTCGCTTGCCATCTCGCGATAGTTCCCGTCGGCAAGATCGTTGATGGTGTGTGCGTCAGGAGTGCGCTCCTTGGTGTATTCGTCTAGTGCCTTTGATCGATCGTTGGGATACCTGTCGATGAAATCGAAAAGAACGCGGACGTCTTCCAGTCCAGCATTCATTCCTTGGCCGTAGAATGGTACCATGGCATGGGCCGCATCTCCTAAGATAACGCCAGAATCTCCGTAGTGATATGGTGTACACTTGATCGATATCAAGGGCAAGTGCTGGTTAGATGTGTACTGCTTGCGGAGATCGTCTTCGGTGATGAGTTCAGGAACCACGCCGGGGAACTTCTCATTGAAGAACTCGACTACTTTTCCAGACGCGTCCAATTGCTCAAAGCCTTCCCTGGTCAAGAAAAGCGTTGATGTAAAAGTCTTGTCTAGGTTTGGAAGAGCGATGAACATAGATTCGTCCTGGGGCCAGATGTGTAGGTAGTTTGGAGGTATTCGGAATTCGCCGTCCGGTGTGGCTGGAACATTGAACTGGCACCAGAGTTTGTCGATGTACTCTTGCTGAAACGACATGGGCACAAACTTCATCAAGTGATATCGCACCGCCGAGTGTGCACCGTCGGCACCGATCATGAGATCGAAGTTGATTTCGAACTCGTCGCCCTGTTCTTCGGGAGACTTGGTACGATGCTCAAACCATGCGGTCTTCTTCCGGAAGTCTGCGCCGACCAACTTGTGATTGAACATGAGCTTGACGTTAGGCATGGCCTCTAGATGATCAAGTAAGGTCTTGTTCAAACCTGTCCGATCCATAGCCAACAAACTCTACACGAATTAGCATGAGATCAATAGCATGCGACCACACTGTACTTACTCTCCCTCTCGCATCATAGATCTGTGGCTGTCGAACATACTCTCCATTCTTCCTGATATGGATCATGCGACCATGCATGGGGAAGGTCTCTGCCAAGACTGCATCTGCAAGATCGGATAGTCCGGTCTTGCGAAGGGAGTGGATACCTCGCTCCGACAAAGCAAGATTGATAGATTTGGAGAAGTTTAACGGTGTGGTGTTGGGGTCTCGGAGATCTGGCTAGCGTTAGGTCACTCGCTAGCACCGAGATGGTTTACAGATCATTATCTCACCTGCTCTTAGCTCGTAGACATCCACTTCAAACCCGCGTACAGCTGCATAAAGCGCGGCCAAAGAGCCTACTGGCCCGGCTCCGACCACAACTACTTTCTGGGTCATGGTGGTAAGGAGGCAATGTGGAAAAGTTGGAGTAAAAAGATGATTGGTTTAATGGTCTGTGCTCAGAAGCGGCGTGGTGTGAGTTGAAGAGCAAGAGGAGGAAGGAAGAAAGAAAGGTGGAAATACATCGTCCGCAAACGAGGGAGACGCGAGACACGGGTGAAAATTATCAAACCATTACCAGGGATCCAAAGAGTCAGATATGATGGCAAAGTAGGGCAGATGATGCACGTCAAGACTGGAACGGGTAAGCGCGAGCTCTGGTTCAAGTTGGCTACTTAGTAATCGGTGATCGGCGGCCGGCGGCCTGGACCCCTGCACGAATTCCGACTTGACGATGCCGTGGGAAGAACGAAAGTCGCAGTCCACCACTTCCTCCGTGCGTAAACCGTTGCCTCGCACATATACGTTCGTTGCGCGCTGTACAGTCGAGTGTACGTGAATACCAGGCCACCTCCGCCTTGACCACACCCTCTACACGCCCTATACCACCGCACGCGATGGCCACAGACGCCCCGCGCAAGTGCGCAGGCAAAGACTGCGAGAACGATGCGAGTTCTCTCCAATGTCCGAACTGCCAGAAGCTCGGAAAAGAGAACTACTTCTGCTCGCAGGATTGTTTCAAGCGCAACTGGGTACATAGTGAGACTGCTCTTACACTGCAGACAAAACAATCTAACGGCCCTCTAGGCTGAGCACAAGAAGGAGCACAAGTCACAAAGTAGTATTCTCCAAAGTATCTTTACGCCGAAAGTAGTTTCTCACCCGGATCCAGCCACCGGCCACTACAACCCGTTCCCTACCTACTCGTACACCGGCGCTCTCAGACCCGTATACCCGCTCTCGCCGCGACGCGAAGTCCCGAAGCACATAAGACACCCAGACTACGCGAAGGATGGCATACCGCGCTCGGAGCAGGTGTTTGTCAACAGGAATAAGATCACGATTCTGAACAAGGAGGAGCAAGATGCGATGCGCAAGGTGTGTCGGTACGGGCGCGAGATTCTGGACATTGCAGGAAGAGCCGCAGTGCCTGGTGTCACCACTGACTACATCGACGAGCTCGTACATAAGGCTACTGTCGAGCGCGACGTAAGAACGACAAAGTTAGGGAATCAGAAAGTCTTGTTAACAGCAATAGTCTTACCCGTCGCCCCTCAACTACTGCCACTTCCCCAAGTCCGTATGCACGTCGCTGAACGAGGTCATTTGCCACGGCATTCCTGACCAGCGAGTACTCAAAGACGGCGACATTTTGAACATCGATATTTCCGTCTACCACGGCGGTTTCCACGCAGATCTGAACGAGACGTTTTACGTTGGAGACAAGGCTTTGGCAAACCCGGATGCTGTACGCGTTACGGAGACGGCGCGAGAGTGCTTACAAAAGGCCATCGAGATCGTCAAGCCAGGCACACTGTTCCGTGAATACGGAAACGTCATCGAGAAGCACGCAAAGAGCAAGAACTGCAGCGTCATCAGGACATACTGCGGGCACGGCGTCAACCAGCTCTTCCATTGCGCACCCAACGTTCCTCACTACGCGAAGAACAAGGCAGTTGGATCGGCAAAGCCCGGAATGTGCTTCACCATCGAGCCTATGATTAGTGTTGGTTCGCATAGGGACAAGACATGGCCAGACGAATGGACGAGTGTCACGCAGGATGGCTCTCTGACAGCGCAATTTGGTAAGCCCCGCAGATGCATCAATGTGTCCACTCATGACTAACACGCTACAGAACACACCCTACTCGTAACAGAGGATGGCGTGGAGGTCTTGACTGCAAGACTGCCAGATTCGCCAGGTGGTCCGGTACCGATGCCGGGAGCCACAAACGGTGAAACGAATGGCGAAGCGAAGGCAGCTGCTTGAGGATGATTGGACACTTGGGAATAACATAGCTATACGATACTTTCTTAGACTACGCATAGCATGGCTCAAGAGTACGAGGCTTTTGACATTGTTTTGGCTTTCATCAGCATTCGCGTGATGGCGGTTTGTAGTGATGTTCATGTTGTCAGTCATGTCTTGCACACCTCGTTTCGTTTCGACGAAACAATCCGGCCGTCTGTGAGATCACTAACCTTCGGTCAAGCTTCGGTCGGACGGTGTTGGCCCGCTCAACGCACACCTGCAAGCGAGGCGAATGACGCTAGTGGTGGTGCCTGCCCGCCGTCCAGGGAAGCAACTCGTGTCTCCGCCTCAACGTCATCCAAACATCTCTGCCCAACGCCCGCCAGAATTTGAGCGACCTCGCAATCGACGTTATTACTCAAGCTTCTACCGTCGCATCACCGTCGTGTAACCCCACCGCTCACCCACGTCATCACGACCTCTAGCCAGGCCCCGCGCACGAGCTAGCTTCCCGCGTTCTAGCTCGGCAGCCTGCAAACACACGACCGCATCCGAGTGCTGAACCTCTGTCGACCACCTGTCCATTCGTATCCAGGTGTCTACTGGCGACCTCGCTAGTCTATTTTAAACCTTCTATACGCCAAAGCCGTGCTACGCAGCACACGACACTCCCACAATGACTGGCGAAGCATGGTTGTACCTGTTGGCGGTGCTGATAAATGCCGTCAACCTGTTCCTACAAGTCTTCTTTACTATCATGTACAGCGATCTGGAGTGGTGAGTCAACCCCAGGCATGCAATGCCATTGCGTAGCAATCTACGCGATACGGCCCGTACCTTGATCGGCACATGCTAATTTTGCGCCAGTGACTACATCAACCCCATCGATCTCTGCAACCGCCTGAACACCTACATCATCCCCGAGGCCGCCGTTCACGCTTTCCTGACCTTCTTGTTCCTCATCAACGGATACTGGATCGCATTGATCCTGAACCTACCTCTGTTGGCATGGAACGGAAAGAAGTACGTAGCAGGGCCGGACTATACCAAGGGATAAGGACAATGCTTACAGTCACAGGATCTTTGAGAACCAGCATCTGTTGGACGCAACGGAGATCTTCAGGAAGCTCAATGTGCACAAGAAGGTACGATGAGAGGATACCGAGTATATGGCGATAGGCTAACAGCCACACAGGAATCCTTCATCAAGCTGGGCTTCCATCTGCTCATGTTTTTCTTCTACCTCTACAGCATGATAGTCGCCCTCATCCGCGACGAGTCTCACTAGGTGGAGACTGCGCCCATCGTCTTGGTCGTAGCTATATTCGCGGCTGTACTGATTACGGTGGGCTACGAAGACCGAATCCAGGGACGGCTGAAGATTAACGGATAGATACACTTGATATCCGGCTCGGGGAAGCGAGCCACGCGTGCGCATATTGCTAGCGGGAGGACATGATTGTTGGTTTAGGATAATGCGGGATACCTGGAGCGACAGGTTTGGGGATGGGAATTCACCCAAGAGGGATTAAACGAGTTATGGGGTATGATAGCGTTATGTTAGCCTTGTGTAAATGGACCATAGTTTTCACATGTAACTACGCAATGCATAGTCGGGTTGTGGTCCGTGCGCAGTAACCCACATTTTCTGGTGAGCTGGGAAGCTTCCATCCACAACTTCGCATGCGACACTCCGCGCTGACCACCTTCCAGCCTTGTCGAATCCCAATATCGACACTGTCTCCAGTTCTCACACACTACGCGACCCTCACCCAATCTCCACAACAGCTAGAATGCCCGCCGGCGGCTCGGGCAGGGTGCCAACTGGGTTCGCTGCAGAGACGTACATCAGCGACCACACCTTCCGCCAGGGTCAGCGCGCCATCGAGGGCGGCGACGGGTCGAAGAAAAGAAAGCGAGAGGGCAAGGGCGATTCGAGCGTCGTGACTGGCGCAGGCGCATACAAGGGACCATGGGCGAAGTATGAGGAAGAGAGGCCAGATGCTGCCTCAGACGACGAGTTCGGGTCGGACGTCGAGGTGGAAATAGTTTACGAGGAAGACGAGATTGTCGACAACGCTGCGCCCGCGCAAAAGAAGCTCGCCGGCACAGATTACCGCGATACCGAAGCCGAGGGCGAGACGAGCGAGTTTGTTGGCAGCCAGCAGTACGACTACCAGGGCCGGACGTATATGCATGTGCCCACAGATCTCGACATCAAACTCACCGGCGATTACGAGCCTAAAAACTTCATACCGAAGAAGCTCATCCACACCTACAAATACCACACCAAGTCGATCACTCAGGTTCGCTTCATGCCTGACAGCGGACATCTCCTACTGTCTGCCTCCGCCGATTCGAAGATTGCGCTATGGGACGTCTATCACCAACGCGAGCTCCTGCGAACATACTCTGGGCATACAAAGTCGGTTGTTGACATCGACTTCAACCCCAGCGGCACACAGTTCATATCGGCTAGTTACGATCGCTTCATGAAGCTATGGGACACAGAGACGGGAAAGTGCTTGAACAAGTTCACAACTGGCAAGACACCGCACGTGGTGCGCATCAACCCCAGCACACCACACGAGTTCTTGGCCGGTATGAGCGACAAGAAGATCCTACAGTACGACACAAGAAGCGGAGAGATGGTACAAGAATACGACCACCATCTGGGACCTGTCAACACAATCACCTTCTGCGACGAGAACCGCCGCTTCATCACCACATCAGACGACAAGTCCTTACGCGCGTGGGAATACGGCATTCCCGTACCTATCAAGTTCATCGCGGAACCCTACATGTTCTCCATGGTCCGCTCCTCACCCCACCCGTCAGGCAAATACGTTGCCTTCCAATCGTCCGACAACCAGATCACCGTCTACAGCTCCACCGACCGCTTCCGGCAGAACCGAAAGAAGAGCTACAGAGGGCACAATGTGGCTGGATATGCACCAGACGTGGCGATCAGTCCAGACGGGCAGTTCATTAGCTCGGGTGACAGTGGAGGTTTCTTGTGCTTCTGGGACTGGAAGACGTGCAAGATGTACCATAAGATTCCAGCGAGCGATGCGCCTGTACTGTCAGTACAGTGGCATCCGAGGGAGTCGAGCAAGGTGGTTGCTGGTGATCTGAATGGTGCTCTGAGATTGTATGATTAGACATGGAGGTTGTGGGAGCGGATATAGCGATACCCAATGCATTCGATACCAACTGATGACGATTTTGACTCATTGGCTGCCCATGTATGCCGGGCTCGATAAGCAGCCCAAGTCACACGTTGAAGATGCTATGCCTCCGACGGTTCACCGGCTCTGCGTTGGCATACTGGAAATTAACAATGTCCCTCGGCCCACCTTACTGCGCATGCGCAGCGTAGTTGGCGAGAAGTTCGGTCCTGGATTCTCCAGCGGTTCACCGGCTATGCGCTGGCAAACACCTGGACCATATGCGCAGTTGCGCAATCCAGAGCCGCGCAGTCGCCACAACTACCTGCTCTGAGTCAGTGCGGAATGTACACCCACGTGAACCGCGTGCAGCCTCGCGACAGCCTTGCTCGGATTGATGGCCTCCCGCTACGCAACAACCCCGCCATGCACCAGGACCCTTCCACTGCGCCTCCTACCCTACTCCACAACACCGCCTTTTGCCTTGACATTTCTGCCCTTTTTCCCATTCCATGCCCCTATCTTCATTATCGGACGCCGCCGATGAGCTCTTTTGCCGTTGCATCTCGGTGAATGCTTTGCAATGCTGCCTGCAATAGCTCCAGGCACCTACATTGCCCCCAGCCCCCACACCCCATCTTCTTTCGGTCAACCGGTGACCTTCTCGTTCACCAGTCCTGTCCGCTTTGTCATTATCCATTTCGGGGACCGCTGTCGCCTGGGGTGTCAGGCACGTCACTGGGTAACGCGTCTCTGACATATTTCCTGCTGCCTTTTCATAGGTTCGATTCGCTTGATGTGCCTTGCAGGAGAAGATGGCTGCAACGCGTACGCCCTTTGCGCCATGCGAGTCACCACCTCGACCCTTTCTAGCCGTGACCCGATCTTAGTCCACGCCGATTGAACTGGTTCCTTCGGTAAATCCGCACCCGCTCATGATGACTCTTGCTCTTGGCAGGTCAAATGGTGAACGGGAAGTGCAGCCTAATCGCTGATTCGCGCACACGCGTGTCCTGCCTCAGGACTTGTCCCGAGGTGAACATAGCCACGCGTGTGAATCATCGCAATCGCGCAGTCATTCACCTCGACCACGCGCCTAGTCCATCGATTCAGGCAACGGCGTTACATTGAGCGTTAGGAGAACTCCGATGGCGACAAAGAACAGTCAACGGTTGCGAGTGGTGAGTCTTGTAGGTTGGCGGCCTCAGGTACTGTCTGCCTGGAATAAATAGTCGCGGGTTGAGGTGGGTGGTTGCTTTCTTTCTTCTCTTCATCAGTCAATCGATCAATTATCTACAGTCATATCAAGCATCTTTCGAGAAGAGTCACAGCTGTCCTCTTGTTGGTCTTCAGTCAACAGTCTACCTCGGATTATCATCACGAAACGCCCTTGTCGGCTCGTATACACCCGATACAACTCTATTACCGTCTATCACACAACACACGCCGATCACTCATCTGATCTTCTCGAATCACAACTGGCATCCAAACGCCTCCAACACCCTCAACACCAATCAACCATGTCGTCCAGCTCATCTTACGGCTCCTACGGCCAGAGCAAGGGTGCCTACGCATCCCGTCCCTCGACATCCTCCACATGTACGTTGTCAACTCCTATCAGATCACCTCAAAGGCATAACTCTAACACACTTGCAGCCTACTCTGCCGCCTCATCGAGCCTATACACAAACTCCGGTAGCTCGTCACGCAGCAAATCATACAAGAACCCGCCAGTCATTCACAATGGAGGTGGAAAGATCAACGACCCGAACACGTCTACTTCCGCGCCAAACGGGGGATACTACAACTAGACGAGGCGATAGCCTTCTAGCGGCATGACTCATGCCGTGATGGAGATCACCTTGTCCTTTTGTGCAACTATTGCTTTCGTTGAGGTTTTTTATCGGCATGTTATGGCGTTCGGACTGGGGTTCACTGGTTACTAGATGGTCAAGGCTTCGGTGCTGAGGGCGTATAATACTGGCTTGCTTGCCGGTACTTGGTGTTGCCGATATTCGGGCCCACGTTTCTTATGTATTTGTTCTTGCTAGCGGGTCGAGGTCCTTTTATCGGGTCGCATCTCCCCTAATCATTCCCTTTGGTATGGTTTTCATCTAGCAGTTGTACAACAGATAGTCTAAGCAAGACATACACATGTTATCTCTTGACACATCTACCTCTGATGACATGACGATTCGCGTGAAGCCCCTACGATTCAGTCTACTACTGGCCAACAGCGCCATACCAACCCAACCCCAAAACGGCGCCTATGATAATCGCAACGGCAGGTGGCACACCAAACCAAGCCGTCTCCGCATATGCCAAAGCAGCCACCACTACCCACCACGGCTCATCTGCCAAACTCCTCCCATCACTGCTCTCCGGCGTCAAATAACCAATCTCCCAAAGCCTGTACACAGCCGTGAACACCAGTCCCACAGCAGTCGCGTTGATACCTCTTAGCAGACTAGCCACCCAAGCCTTGGTGCGCATAACCTGCCAGATAGACTGCACACCAACTGCGAGCACAACACCAGGGAAAAAGATGCCAATGAAACCAAGGAGGGCGCCTACGATGGTAGGCGTAGACGTAGGGGCAGAGGCGATGGCCAAAGCGCCAAGGTAAACCGCGAAGTTGAAGTTGGGGCCAGGGAAGGCTTGGATGATGGCGAGACCGAGGAGGAAGTCTCGGGGTGATACCCAGCCTGGGTCTACGACGTAGGAGCGGAGGAGGGGGATCACTACGGGCCCGCCGCCGAAGATTATGGTGCCGGCTAGATACCTGTGTGGTGTGAGATGAGAAGGGGAGGAGTGATTGGGTAGACAAGGTGCTTACATGTTGGAGAAAACATCGAAAGACCGGGTGCTGGATACTGTTCCACGGATGACCATGACGACGATGAAGGAGATCGAGAATCCCACGATAAGCGACATGCCAACCTTGACAGAGATGTTGTGAGTCTTAACATCAGCGACAGGCCCATTCGTCGAAGTCACATCATCAACAAGCGGATGTTCTCCAGCATGACTCCGACCCGCCTCTTCTTGCTCAGGCACAATGCGATCTGTCGAGCTGCCCGTGCCTACCCTCCTCTTCACAGCTTCCGGCCGCTGAAGTTCAATTGGTATGGTTTGCGTGGTAGCCGAAACTTCTTCCGCATCACCCTGTTCATTTCTCGCTCTCCTCCTCTTAGCAAGATACGCAGCTCTCATCTTACCCACGCGTCGTCCGAGCCAGATATCCCAGACCACCGTCGTCAGCCCACCAATAACAATTAACACAGGAAAGAACCACAGCGCATTATAGCACAATCCCGCACACGCACCAAATATGACCAAGATACGTGTTACACGGTCTTTGATAGCCTTCTCGGCTAGTTGAACAGCAGCCAATGCGACAATACCGACGGTACTGGCGTTCAAACCAGAGAGCAGGGCGTACACGATGGGGGGGAGGCGTTCGGGCATCTTTTGCACGCCGAGCGAGAGGCCGTACATGCCGATCGCGCCAGGGAGACTCCAGAGGAGGAAGGCGAAGATGGCGGAGACTATACCCGCGTGGAGGAGGGCGATGCAGAAGCACATTTTGGTGGAGGCGGGGCCAGGGAGCGCTTGGCAGATTGCGAAGAGTTCTTGATACTGGGGAGTTTTGTTAGATGCGCGGCATTCTGTTGTATAGGTAGTCGAGGAAGTGGCATATCTCTCCGTCTTCTCATCCGGTCCCAAGTAAATTTCCCAGCTCTTTCTCATGACTCAACTCATTGGTACTTCTACCGTTGAGCTTACTACTACGCATATGCATACGCATACTTACAGTCTGTTCATCCAACCACTTACTCCCACCCTGAAATCCCACTCCCTCCACAAACCTCCGATGCAGAATCTGAAAATGCACAGGCGGCCCTCCAAATGCAGTGAACCCTAGATCCCACATGCGAGTAAACACTTCGACGAGACGCCATTGTATCTTCTCGGTATTGGCTTGTAGATGGGCTGGAGGAGGAGCGGCGCGATGACTGCGCCGCCGGAGCGAACTTATGAGTGACTGGAGTGGCATTGGTAGTGATGGCTACCTCATGCGCGTTGTCGTGATGGGATGGTTGTGCTAATGGAAGGATGGACTATATCCTCGAGAGGAATTGAAGCTGGGCACACGCATCATGCACAGACAGACGCGCAGAAGCCAAGACACTCCAGTCGCGAAGAAGACGTGATGGACATCCATTGTCCAATCATTGCGCCCATGTGTTGCGACATCTGTGGCTTGCCTAGGTTCGTCGTAGCCAAGACATGGCGGTTGCGTTGGGGAAGACGCGTGCAGGCGAAGGCAAGTTTAGGCGGGTCTGTCACTTCGTGGTTGTGATTGGTCATGCAGGTGTCCACTAGCGTGAGGACAAACGTCCCGATTAGGCAGGTTCTGAAATCCGTCGATTGCAGCGCTCGTGAAGATACCATGGAGGCCTCGAGCGTCGTCGTGGTCTAGGTGACGTTGAAGTGAACAAATACTCTGTAAATTGTATGAAGTTTACCGATCATTCTTTTCACTACTCTAACATCAAAAAAGTGAGAGTAGCTCAAGTAGCACTAAACGCCTGCCGCCTATTGCAGCGCACCTAGGCAATGATCGGACGGCTTTGTCTACACTCCGTTCCTGTGGTTTTCAGCGTCCACACTGACTTTGCGACGTTTACGTCAACGCTCTAGATCTGTACAGATTCGATTGAAGTATGTATCTAACGATTGGCATGCTATCACAGCGATATTTCAAAGAAACAAGAAAATACCTAGGTATAGTATCTAGCGATTGGACAGTCCACCGGACCAAACACACCCCAGCTTTCAATCCACCATGATGATGATCCGTTTTCAGATCTAGCACTGAACGCTCCAGTTGTTCCACTCAAAGTCAGGCTGGATATCGCGATCCTGGTCCGTAGCCGTGTACGACATAGTGACCTCACCATCCTCACATTCATCAGCATCTGCGTGGAAGA